GCAATACACAGTTAGAAAAAAAAATTGACACTCATAATTTTTAACCATCCTCTTTCCCTTGCTTTCTAATAAATAAGGCTTAATGTTCGTGTTATGTATGTGCAAATATATGGAAACAGCTCTTCTATAGATTTGATTTCCATTGTTAAAATGGTGAAATATAATCTCATGTTGGTGTAACCATGGCAACAATCTGCATTTATTGTATACAAAATATTGCAAAATGGGGGGGGGGGGGGGGGGGGGGGGGGGGGGAGTGAAATGTTATAAAAGTCCCCAAAATTTGGTCTAAAGAAGAATTTTAATCCATTAGAGTGGTACCTTTTCTTAAACCATAGATATTTTTCTATCAAGACGTCCAAAAAAAATCATATGCATTTCACCTCATTTTTCAACAAAAATTTGACCCTCGAACTTTTAAATTCAACGTTTTTTATCGGATATATTTTTTTACTATCAATGCTGAACCACGAATTGATAGTAAAAAAAATATCCGATAAAAAACGTTGAATTTAAATGTTCGAGGGTCAAATCTTTGTTGAAAAACACTACAATAATTTCTGGACCTATGGCCGGAACGGATGTGGAAATACGGACTGTCAAACAGAAAAATGGCTCATAAAACAAGCAAAAAACAATCTTGATGTTCATATGAACCCACTTGGAAGCTTATATTATTCTTCTGCAATCTAAAATTCAATTTTATTGTACAAAAACTTTCATATTTAAAAAATTCATCATGGCCAAAATGCGAAACTAAACTTCTAACTGTGTATTACTACCATAGATCATACGAGAAGAACATAATCCGTACCATACCAAAAACTGGTCTTAAATTATAAGAAATGTGTTTATTTCCGATACAAAGACCCTAAGAGTGAATCAATATACATTCCAAAAATGCCATCGATATTAACTTGACAACATTATATCGTCACTATACACTATATATACCCCTTGTGAATAGGTGTCTAGCTTTTGAGGTGAATGACAACATTTTTGTACTTTATATAGAATATTACAATAAAAGATGCGATGAAAGACCTGAACGTATATAAGATGTCTTCACGTTGATTTATATTTTGAATGTTGTTCTCACGGTACATATGATAAAATTTAGTAAATGTTCTGACTAGTTTGTAATATCGAAATCCGAGTGTAATAATTTTTCAGTAATGCAGAGGTTCTTTTGTTAAAATCAAATACGTTGTTATGGTACACGACCGAATCGAACGTACGATGGAACCAAGGGAATATCCCCAATCTAAAAACGGATTATTATAACAATAGGAAATGAAAAATCACCTCTTATATCGTAAATTTTAGTATTGAGCTTCCAGTTCAAGATATAGATATCAAGATCTATAGGAAAGGACAATGTGCATTGTTAATATTTATAGCTTTATTTAAAGACACTGATTTCAACAGGATAAATCTCTTTAGTGTACACACTGTCATCGTATTGTTATGAATCACAATGTATGTCTTAGATCAGCAACGACCCATCGAAACAACATCTGCTACAAAAATTTAATAATACTTTTAGATATTTTGATGATATTTTGCTCTCAATAATGACGACTTCAGTGTGTACCGAGTCTCCGTTCAACATGACATGTCGTTGGAAGCTTCCTCGTCACACACTTAAAGTGATAGTTAAAGCACCGAAATCAACTTTTCAATTAATGCTATAATGATTAAAGTACAATGTTTACAATAATTTTATTATTTTAAGACCGCCCAGTCATTTTAACTGTTTTACTCGGACTCGTATTCGGACTCGGGTCGGAGTCCTACATTTATTGTAAATCTCTGATAGGAAGACAAAATGCCTACCTTCAATGCTTCATTAGTAGATACTTCTGTTTGGTGCCTTCCTTAGATTTATTTCTGACTTAACATGTACTTAGGTCACTTGGTGGTATCACGAATTTGACCCTACCGCAATGGTGTGGGCATATGTAGAAATTTTAATATTTAGAGTAATTATAATTCTGACGATATTAAATTTTTTATCCACATGATATTTATAAATCATTATCTGTGGTCCCTTTTTAAGTATTATATAACAAAATTTTGCAATTTAAAATAATTACAGCAAAAATCATCATTTCAGTTTAAAGTCTATATATTCAAATTCCACTATTATATCTTTTTTGTGATAGATTTTGTAAAAATAAACTGAAAAATGGCTAGTCAAGAAAATTAAGGGGAGATAATTAAAAACGAATTATTTTTTCTGAACACTTTTTTGTGTTGGTTTGTGTTGCTACAACTCTCGCTACAACTTTTTTTTACACTCCTTTATATTATTCAAATTTGTTTGATTGACTGATGTTTGCTTAGCGTCTATTTGTAATGTTTCATGCATATTGAGGGCAATGTTCAAATTTGTATAATGCTCTTCTAAAAATGACTAAATTCTAAAAATTTTAAAATATTTGAATTTAATTTCCTAATATTTCTGTCCACCCGATCATATTTTACCAGAATATCTCATACATACCTACAGTATATGAGGGTCTTGATGGGGTTCCATCTGTATTATTTTAATTTTTATGTCATTTTTTTCTTATTCTTTGTATTTTTTTTTACCATTTTTCTGTAGATTTAGCACATTCTTCTCTATTAGTTAAGTCCTACCCAGATCCTCATATATAAACACAATAACATTGTACAGTTTATTCCGTGGAGGGATAAAATATGTAACGTATTTTTAGACAAAAGTTTAACAGTCACGTGAATGTTCTTCTTAAAAATGCACCTCACACAATAATGAAATGGAGGACAGGGCCAGGTCTCTGATTCCAATTCCCCTGCCTTAAACTCATACTTCCCTCCCTGTACTCCAAATGCCCCCTACTCCTACTCCCCTCTCCCTTATTTCCAGAGAAAATCGTTCAAAAATATTTCCCAGAATATCCCTATTTTTACTCTACCTCTTCCCCCGGTTCCTGCCTCCATGACTCCCGCTTCCTGCTCTCTCATTCTCATGTTCCCTTACCCCTGTCCATCCTCTCAATGATGAGAGAGGCAAACTATTCCTTTTCTTTTTTTGGTATTTTTGCTGTGCATGTACTAATTTTGTGTCATGGATAGATACTAATTTTCTATTATATGACTGTGTTCTAGATAATATTGTTCTAACTTTTAAATTAATAAGTTGACAACCAAGGATCAATTTATTTGGTTAATGCATAATTAAAATAAGGATATCTTGTACGAAATGTGTGCTTTCATAAACAAGAAAAAGTATTCGAAAGAAAGAAATGTAATGCCAACGAAAGTTATAAAAGAGGGACGAAAGATACCAGAGGGACAGTCAAACTCATAGATCGAAAACAAACTGACAACGCCATGGCCAATAATAAAAAGACAAACAGACAAATAATAGTACAGATGACACAACATAGAAAACTAAAGACTAAGCAACACGTGTAACAATACAAAAACCATTAAAACTGAGGATGACGTTCTTTATCTTTTTGTTTTTCTATGTGAAATGAATTGATGATACATTGTACCATATCTTTTCAATACCATCAACATACTATTTAGGAAGCATGAGCCGGTTAAGAAACATTACTCACCACAATAAAACATCAAAACAAAAGATAATACAATTGCTGTTGTCTGACACATGATTGAATCGATACAGTAAACATGAAGAAGGAGAAAAAGCCGCAAATTATTTTAAATTCCTGGTATTTAAAAGATGGCATGAAACTTCAATATGCATTTCCGTAAAAAAACATGCATTGAAGATTTCGCTTTTGTTCAATGTTTGTTTTCGTTGAATCTTAACATGTGTGTACCCCTCTGTGAAGCAACACAGGAATATAGGACATGTTGTTGTCCGTACGTTTATTCGTACAACATTGTAGCTACACTTACAGCTCCCTTCTCTTCCGATTTCAATTTAACTAATGTCAATAATATCTCCAAAGAGTTTGAAAATCCGGACCAGTCCATTATTTTCGCGAATTTTGTCCCTTGGCAATGTAATTAATATTTACCAAAAAAACTTGATAAACGCTCCTACAACGCCGTTCTCGTTCGAGTTTAGTATACTATTTTGGTTGGGACGAGATTTTAAATCATTATAGTTAATCGTGTATTTTTTTGGTGGAGTTCAGTCGTTTAAAAGGTAAATAATACGAAAAATCGGATTTATAAACGTTCTCAAGCAAACTGTTCTCAATAAAACGAAATCAATTTCGATAAAAATCCTACTAATCAATTATACATGAAAACTTCGTTTTCCTACAATATTTCACGTTTGGTAAAGTTTTCGGGTTAATGGTTTTTACACTCTAAAAATGTGTTTAGAGCCTAAACACTTTCCTAAACACATTTATGAAACCGATTTTTGACATGTTTTAAATCTAAAAATGTTTAATATTTAATGTGCTAACAGCCTAAACGTGTCAAGCTATAAAGTGCTTAGACTGTAAACATGTTTAGCTGTAAAGCGTTTAGACTAGAAACACGTTTAGCTAAAAAGTGCTTATACTGTAAACATGTTTAGCTGTGAATTGTTGTATCTGGAAACATGTTTAGCTGAGAAGTGTTTTGTCTGGAAACACGTTTAGCTGTGAAGTGTTTTGAATGTAAACATGTTTATACCATAAAGGGTCGTGAAGAAACATGTTTATCATTTTATTGTGAGAAGCCGTTACTTCATTAGGCCCCAATTAAACTAATATTCCGGAAGTCTTGACTGTAAAACGTATGATAGCTCTCAATAAAACAGGTTTTCATACCATCACAAAAAGGAGCCAATGCATCAAACTAAGAAACTGGAATTTCCATATCAAATTGAATGTGACCAATACATTTTCAATCTCAATGAGTATTTTCTTTAATTCAATTCACGTCATTCGACTATTGCATTTTTTCTTCATTTCAAATATTCGTAAAACAGTCTAGAACTTTTGAAATGAAATTATCATTATACTAATTCTAGCTTTAAAAACAAAATTACAACATATAAAACAAAGGAATTTATGTTATCATTTATTTCCAGTTTATCATTGAACACAATCAAAAATAAATTCATATCAAGGTACATGTACATAATATTGACCAATCTTCTACTTGTACCCCATCCCTACAACAAAAAAATTTGAAAATGTCCTGTTTTCATTTTACAGGTCAATAAGAGCTTCTCCTTTCTTAGTACCCAACTGCTGGTCAATGGCCTGAAATATAGGAAAATATTGATAAGCAACTAAGTAGAATTAATCGAAAAATATAAGAATACGAACTACAACACCAAAAAGTAAAAGCATGATTTAAGATCCAGATAACAACATTAGGACCGTGGTATAAAAACATAAATTTACTGATGAATCAATTGATATTTTTTAATATAAAACTTCTTTTCATGCTTAATATTATTCATTTGATCAAATATATATTGGCATTTTTAAAGTCAAATACACTTTTGATTCTTACCTAGCAGCATATTTGCTACTGTTCTTTATCTCCTCTTTTAGCATGCCAAGACAGATGATGATTTCCTCTGCACTTCTCTCATCTAGAATAAAACAATACATATCAATAAAATTATAAAAAAAATCACACCCGCTTATAACTATTGAAATAAACAAGCATCTTTCTATTTATTTTGAGGAAATGTTGATTGTGCATATCGGAAGTGCTTACGAAAACAATGAACTCGATATGACACTGGATTTGCGAATGATGCACCTCATCCTGATAAGACTCGTCAGATTCCGCTACCCTTCATGTTCCATTATAATCTGCCGAGGAGTACCGAACGAAAATTATCCTCACAAACTCCTTTCCAAGAACATATATAAATAAAAAAATAAATGCAAACTTGCATGATAGAACATTAAACAACTCTTATCATCTATACACAAGATAGTTTGAACACTTAAAGCTCTTACAAGCACTTGTTTCGTGGGATGGTACCCCCTTTTCTCTCCTGCATTGACTATACGGTAGGGTACTTGTAAATAATGCTTATACATGTTGTAACTGTCAATAATCATTTAAAATTGGCAGTACAAAATAAAAGACAGTATAATCATAACTCCTTACCTTTCTGAAACAGTCAAGTTACGGTCAGTTATGGTCAGAAGTAAACAGCGTGGCCTTTGACTTCGGGTTCTTTGTTTCTTCTTCCCGCTCAAAATTAGCATGTGATATGAATGCCGTATTCGGCCTAAATGTGTTGTAATTCTAAACGTGTTTAGGAAAGTGTCTAAATATTGAAAGTGCTTAGAATTTAAACACGTTTAGCTTTATATACTTGACAAAGTAGCTAAACATGTTTAGCACAGCAACATGTTTATTGAAAAGTGCTGAGAGCCAAAACATGTTTATTGCGAAGTGCTGAGAGCCAAAACATGTTTATTTTTTTATGTTTAGAAATTAAACACTTTCCTAAGCACATAAGTCTTGCAACACGTTTAAATTCTAAGCACAATTTTTACAGTGTATCTAATATATGGAGCATTATTCCAGCAGCATCCGCAAATAGTATGTATATCTCTCAGTTAAAGCAATGTTCATGAGTTTGTGTCCTTTAATGATTTCTTTGATAGGGCGTTGCTGATTTAATGAAGCTACTGAACCAAAAGTTACAAATAGTAAACTCAAACATGTTTAACCCCGACACATTCTGTATGTGCCTGTCCCAAGTCAGGAGCCTGTAATTCAGTGGTTGTCGTTAGTTGCTGTATATCATATTTGTTTTTCGTTAATTATTTTGTACATTAATCAGGCCGTTTATTTTCAGGTTTGAATTTGTTTTGTATTTGTCATTTCGGGGTCTTTTATAGCTGATTATGTGGTATGGGTTTTAATTATTGTTGGGGGCCATATGGTGACCTATAGTTGTTAATTTCTGTGTCATTTGGTCTCTTGTGGAGAGTTGTCTCATTGGCATTCATACCACATCTTCTTATCGATCCTAGGGGCCTCGGTGGCCGAGTGGTCTAAGTAGTTACTACTGTAATCACTAGCCAGTCAACACTGAGGTTGTGAGTTCGAACCCCGCTCGTGCGGGTGCACTCTACTCCAATCTTAATTGACTAGGATTGTCAGTTTTCCTATCGAAGGTCGGTGGTTTTCACCGGGCACTCCGGCTTCCTCCACCAATAAAAACTGGCCGCCACGAAATAGCCCAAAAGCGGTGCTTAAAAGTGGCGTTAAAACACAAAAAATCAAATCAAAAATCAAATCTTATCGATCCTTATATCAAAGTCACCAATTTCCCAGATAGAGGGCTGCTGTATACAAAAAAGTTATTGAACTAAGGGTTACGAATTGTAAAGTTGAACATGACGCCATCATGATTTGGTAGACTGTGAAGGAATATCAGTGTGACAGACACAAGAGATGCCTCTAGTGGAGCAGGAACATCTTCCATAACACCTTAGTTCACACCTAGTTTTGAATAAAATGGTTAGTTTTGCTTTTGTTTTAGTTTAACGGTTGCATTATGTGTTTTTATCTTTTACAATGGTCGTTTATTTTTTGCAGGAAGTAGATTTTTTTTTGTCTATCTTTTGTCCATGAAAATCACGTTTTTACTTCAAATTTTCACATTTGGTCAAGTTTTAGGGTAAGTGAATCTACATGACCGAAAATGAGCACAGATGCCTAAGAATCAACAGTTCTTATTCCATCAATGAAAAGTAAAATAAAAAAAATACCGAACTCCGATGAAAATTCTAAACGAAAAGTCCCTAAGCAAATGGCAAAATCAAAAGCTCAAACACATCAAACGAATGGACAACAACTGTCATATTCCTGACTTGGTACAGGCATTTTCTTATTTAGAAAATGGTGGATTAAACCTGGTTTTATAGATAGAGACTGTAGCTGTTCAGATTCTTCCATTGCCTTTTATACTGTGTTTCGATTAAGGATATGAAAAGATTTTCACATGTTTTTTCTTGCAACGTCCATAATTACTATCAACATTTACAACCAGTAATACACCATATGTCCAACAAAATAGTCTGATTTTAATCAATTAAACCTCTCATCACTCACGTTATTCTGATATGTGGCGATAAATGAGTAAACATTAGCAAGTAAAAGGTATTATTTGAATTTTGACCCTACCGTAATGGTGTGGGCGAGAGTAGAAATTTATATTTGGTATATAGTTGCTCTCGAATTGATTTAAATACTTTAATAAATGTCATTAATAAATCATTATCTATGGTCCATTTTAAATCATTATACTACAAAATTTTGCCTTTTATAATAAATACAAAAACAAATATCATTTCATATTTTTATATTATACATTTAAATCTATTAAAACATCTGTTTTGTGATATATTTTCAAAATAGTCTAAAATAATGCATTTGACAGAACAAAGGGGAGATAACTTATGAAGAATTATTTTTCCTAAACATCACATTGACTAGCAGTCAGATAATAATTTTCAAACTAATAAAAAAAAAATATGCTTATATTCTTTCGAATTGCATTTTTGATCATTTTTGCAGTTCACACAATATTCTAGGGAAAGAGATCTTTGGAACTTCACCCGTAAATATAAAACACCTTACAATGGAGTTGATAAGATATATATATATATAACGTATTAGGCCATGATCCGGATTGGGGTTTACAGAATGGAGAATAATGGACAAAATGTGCAGAATAAAGGCCGAAAAATTTAAAGAATAAAGAAAATAAGGCAAAAAAATAAAAGAATAGAGAAAAATGGGGTGCTAAGATATAAAGAATAGAGAATAATTGGCAAATTTTATAAAGAACAGAGAATAATTTGCAAATTTTATAAAGAATAGAGAAAAATGGTTAAAAAATTAAAGAATACAGAATTGAACATTTGAAGGACCCCCCATCCAGACCCTCACGTATCATTTTTGAACAGAAATAAACACATGATATGTAGGTTTTACTTGCATGTCTAGGATCATCCAATAGCATTAAAGATTTAACTTATTTCAAATCATGCTTAGCTAAGCCTCAGAGTCTGATGTTCTCAGTTAAGTGGGGCCGTTTGTCTTCCTGCGGACAGCGTGCCGGTGTACTAGTCGTGACTTTAAAGTCCTTTAATAACAGTAGGCTAGCACAAAGCAGTCAAAATTATACATGCACAATTTGGTTTTCATTTTCTTTATTTTACTTTATTTACTTATTCTTTTTTTTATGTACATATAAAACCTTATACTAATTATTTTTCCTAAATTCACATATACATTTTTAGGCCTATTTTGGTTTAAACAAAATATTTGGCAACTAAATTCACATACACAATTTGGCATAACAAATTTCTCCGCTCTTTACTTGGCTGCTGGTGTACCATGACAACGTCGCTGCCGTTCACTGCCGTCACGTTGCTTGGCCTAACTTTTCTCCTGCACCGGCTTTTGGTGGCCTCTTTTTTCATTTTTTTATTTATATTTATTTATTTATTTTTTATTTTTTTTTTTGTTCTTTATTTTCATTTTTAGTTTATTTTGATTAATTTAAGTTCTATTTATTTTTATCTTTTATTTTAATACATCAATATAATTTTTTTTTTTGGTCACTCAAAATTATATCAATTACCTTAAGGTTAAAAATAAATTATTCAAATGTCCAAAAAGGCGCAAACCAGGGCAGACCGTGCAAGAAAAAAAATCAATATTTGGTAAACAAGCCTAGGTTCCGAAGGTTGTTTGGAACTCAGTGTTCTGACTGGTCCAGTAATTGTTCAGCATTACTGGTCCAGTCAGTGTTTTAGCCAATCTAAATGAAATATATTTCTCTGATTTCGTTATACCCATATGAGTACGAGCACGCGAGTTGATATAGGACTGGTCTGAATTTTAATCAGATTGTGTTTTAGTAGCCTTTTACATTAGGAATATTACAACATTCTTACATCTACACGCTCAGGTAATTGATGACATTTTATTGGACCAAACCATTTATTACTGGAGATTAAATTGCCACATGTCTGACAGACCTTGGGAATGACTGAAACAAGTGATTAACGTTAAACGGGATGGAATATATTTTTTGCGTGAACCCCTGAGGGTTCACGCTTATTAGTTAGTTAGAAATATAGTCTATGGAGGAATATTCGGAACCCCAATTATTGTTCATTCGGAACATTTATATTTCTTATTTGTATTAGCTTCCTCCAATTAAGAGCACCTCCATACGGATCATTTAAGATATCTAAAACTTGGCAATAAAGAACTTTACACAGATCGCTTAATCTCACTTAATATATGCTATATGGCAATAAAAGATATAGTTGATAATCTCTATAGAAAAAAAATAGAAATAGATTCCCATACGTATAATTCTTAAAGAATAATAATGATTCAAAACATGGACACATGTACCTCAGTCTTTCAAAAATTCATTAAATTAATCTAGAAATAATTAATGAGGCATTGAGTAATGGTCAACTAGTAGGAGACATTAATTTATGTTCCTTACAACTGATCATCAATAAGTGTAACTCTACCACGAGACGCATTGAGAGATTAAATGATCTAATATAAAACCGTTTTTGTAGAGGCATAACTTTTAAGTTCAAAGATACAAAAGATTTCATTAATAAAACACACGAGGTAAAAAGGGAATGCATTCTTATTGCTATGATGAAACGTAAATGTACACAAATATGATCATTGATAATTTAAAAGAAACAGTTATCAATGCAGAAGAATTAATTGACACAAAAGAATATCCTTTAAAGATTCTCAACAAAAACGGTTAAACTGCATTTGTTTAATTAATTCTAAGAAACAATAAATTTGAGTTTAATGGAAAGTTATACAAACAAGTTATAGGAGCGCCCCCTCCATATGTGGTATATTTTCACCATCATGCACATATCTGCATCTGTCTGTCCTATTAATAAATATCTTAAGCTGTGGTCACACCTTACCGGATAGCTCGAACGGACACCGAACGGATGAAAAAAAAGTTTTCCGTTGACAAAACTTTTATCCGTTGGGAGTCCGTTGGTGTACTGACCAAATAAAACGGACGCGTAACGAATGCCTAACGGACACACACAGGATATGCAACGTAAGAAACGGAAACGTACCGGACAGAACGGATGTCGAACGTACATCCAACGGACGAGTACCGCATAAAACGGAAACCTAACGGAAGCGTACCGGATAAAACGGAT